TTTTTTTATTAAAAATTGAACGATTAAAACAGTTTAAAATTAAACTTAAAAAAGAGAAAAAAAAGGCTTTAGCAATCTTTCCCCGTTCAAATGTGATATCAGAAATTTATTTGCAGTAAAAAACAAAATTTTTTTCACTAAGCAGATGACTGAATCCAATTTTATTGAAGAATTAACTTTTACTGGTCATCTTCTATATGTTTTTTAAATAAATTTTTTCTTATTAGTTTTTACATTCAGCGTAAGTCACAAAAAAAGAAAGCTGTAGAAGAACAACACAGAAATCATATCTATGATAGCACGTAACCGACCAACTATATACTGTTTTCTCAGTTTAAAAACTAAATATACTGTTGACTGGCTGTTGGAAAAAATTGTTTAGTTTAAACTAAAATAATTAGATTAATTTCTCAACTAAACTTTAAATATCTACCACTTTTTAAACTAAATAGTACTAAATGTATCCCAAAAACTGCTATAGTAATAGCTGTAATAAATGTTAAACATTCATTAGTGATATTATTAGCCTCTATAATAGTGATAATTTATGTGTTGAGTTGATTAGTACCTTTTTAATAGATGCCGTATCAATGCAGCTGTTTACGAATTTATTGAAATAATCTGGTTGATAGACAATGCTTTATCAATAGTTCTTTTCAGCAAACTTTTCTGCTCATCGTCGTCGTTTCATTTCTGTTTAGTTAGATGGTCAATAATAAATCCTTATCTGTGTTAACGGTTTACAACAAGCACCAGTTAAATGAACAATATAAAATGGTACTTTAGATCACTATACAATAGCTACTTGTACATTTCGCTAATTACGGTAATTAAATAGATTGTTTATGCAATAAGAACACTAATATTTGTAACTGCTGTTCTAATTTTGAAACTTTTCTCAAGCACTGCTACGATTAAGAAAAGAAAAAAAAACCCCTGAAACATAAGATTTTTGAAAACATTATCAGTTCGGAAAAGTAATTTCTTTATCCAATTAGCTAAACTATCTGACCAACAACAACTATTGAAATCTGTTTCATCTGTTTTATAGTCTTTTAATTATCAATTTTTATTCTTACCTACAATGTACATATTTTATTGGTATGGTGCAAATAAACCAAAATCGGCTTTAAACTGAAAAAAAAAATTTAATGTTTTTAAACAATCTTTTGTTTCTTGTTTCTTCACCTTGCTGATACACCGAATCTTATCTGACGTAATGATAAGCTCCTATATGATGCTAATTCAGAAATCTTAGATGTTCAGTTGCCTATATTACAGAAGTACACTGTTGCTTGCAAGTAAATTTTTTATGCTCTTCTTGTTTGTTAACTTAACTTTTCTGTTAGCAATATTTATCTGTTACACAAATTAAAGAATTTCTGCACCAAACCTAATTATAAGTTTCAGTTTATTATTGTAATTGTTCAAAACTAAAGTGAACTATCAAAAAACCTCTGACAGTTATTACAAATTCGCATAGAGATCTAAGTTTAGTTTTTATTCAACTAAAAAAAATGTTGCTAAATATTAAAGGGTTTTCCAGGTTTTTACTGGAATAATTTATTTTCTAATCAAATTTTTTTTTAAATCTCTTATTATTCTTCTTATTCTGCCTTAAAAGTATCGAAATCTATGGAAAAATTTGGCTTAGTATATTTCTTT